ATTTAACAGCGTAGTACCTTTCAAAGCCTTTTTCGAATTTGGAGCACCATAAAAAACTTCTTCTAAAGATTTATTATCAAAAAAGATTTTATTCGCGTCATATTTCGAGCGAATCCTTTCAAACATTTGTAATCGCTCGCCAAGGATTTCATGCAAATATGGTTTAATGCCGGGTACATATTCCCAATATTTAGCCCAATGTGGTCTAATTTTTATTAAAAAAAAAAAATCAAATTATCATTATCTAAATCTTAATATCAAAATTTTGATATTTACCGAGCCTTATACTTTTCCATCCATCTTGTGGCAAATCCAGAAGAGAATTCTTCCCACCCTGGAGTATTACGTATGGATAGCACTTCCATGAAACAGTATATAGCATTTGGATCCTCATCGAAGCCTGGGGCCAAAAGTGATGACGATGCTCTAGTAATTCTCATTTCTGCCGTTAGATTCATTGGGAATTTGCCTTTATTAGCATAGGCATATACCTACAAAAAAGCATCTTCAATTAATTTATAATAAAATCAATATTTTTTTAAGGAAAAAATTGGTTTATTACAGTATTAACAATGTGATTAAACTCCTCGACGACATTTGCAAAATCTTCATCGACCTTAAATACGAATTCCAAATCTTCACAAGGTACGTTGTCAATGCCAGCTTGATAATGAATAGCATCTGGTGCTTGGAGCACAACATTTTTTGGTTTCGAAGCAGGTCCAGCTTTCCACAAAAGATTAGAGAGATGAGGAGTGCCCTCGGGACACTTAACAATGAATTCATATAATCTGTCACCGAATTTTGTTCCCAAATCATCAAAAACTCTTTTTACCCCGAGCTCGGTTTGCGAGTTGGTGACTGGATCGTCTGTTCTTAACCATTGCTTAACCCAAATTTTATCGTCATTTGGATCGAATTCACCTTCGTTGAATGGCCAGTAAAATATTTCTACACTGTCGGATTTTTCGACGAATTCTTTGAGAGTTGCTGGATTTAGCCACGATTTTATTGGTAGTTGGAAATCAATCATGCGAAGATTGAATAGTGGTTGAACGCGCCACGTTACCTTGTAGATTATACCAAATAATCCTATATATACATGTATACAATTTCATTAATTAATTAACGCGAGGAATAATGGAAAAATAATAATTTACTCACCTAGGTTAATTCTAGCTGCACGCATTTCTAAAGGATCTTTCTCGTCACTAAATTCATGTAATTCTCCATCATCTGTAACAATTTGTAATGTAACTGCTTCGTCGGGTATCGTTGCGCCTCGAGTTCTAGCACCATGAGATCCAGTAGCAACGACGCCAGACGCTCTGACTGAATTTAAAACTGTCATCGAATCAAATGCTAATGGCGGCTTATGATTGCGTAATACATCGTCGATTTGTTTAATCGTAGCACCTTAATTGACCTTAATGTGAATAAAACATTTAAACAGGAAATAATCGTATAATTTGCTAATGATTACCAGCTTCGGCAGTAACAGTCCATCCATACTTTTCACTTTTTTCCACTTGAATTTGATCCAAGTTACGCACAATAACCAAATAATCTTTTGTAACTGATAGCGAGCTCCATGTATGTCCTTCAGCAACACATCGAATTTTCTTGCCATTTTTTTTCGCTTTCTTCACAATTTCTTTAAGATCTTGTAATGAACTCGGATGAAAAATGGATTCTGGTTCCACGACAACATTTCCGGCCCAATTGTGCCATTTTTTCGCGTGGGCATCGTTTCCTTTCTCGATTAATGATTCAAGTTTTTCAAAAAAATTTGGCATATTATTGAAACTCTTTAGTGAGTGAATGAAAAAGATGAACTGCTTTTATAGCATGGCTATGAAATTTTTTGATCATTATAAAGTCTATAGATGTATGTGGCTTTTCCAAAAATTTTACTCGCATTGGGATCGGGCCGCTATCTTGTAATTGTCACAACGTTAGAAACGCAAATTATTTCTAAATTAAGATTGCTCAATAACATGCAAACCCTGAAAAGTCAAATAATTATAGATGTAGCTATCTATTTTGATTGGCGTAGAAATTTTATGTGTTTCACATAGCAGCGCATAATAAGCAAACGCTATCAAAGAGGCGAGGGAGTACGCAGATACCAGCATCATTTTATTTCTTTGCAAATAAAATATCAATTTTACGACTGACACACACATGTCAAATATTACAGTATGTGTTATGTCTTGTGACAATACATCGTTGTTATGGTAATACATGTACATCGTCGTTATGACAATACATCGTTATTATGGCATACGTCAGTTGTGGTGACGATATGTCTTGAAGTCTGCACCAGTAGTATCTATATCGTTAACTACGAGATTCTCACATCCCCTTCCTATCTTTTCATATACATTCGAATTCAAAGTAAAAGTATTTTATTTATCTTTTTCTGAGCATTGTAAAGAAAAAGGCTACCTATATCACCCATATAGGTTTATATTCTGTAAGAGGAATTTTCCGAGATGATAGAAGTTCAAATCTGCCATATAAATCCCAGATATTAGCAATGAGGTGCTTCCTATTCATTCCTACCATTATACAGTGGGAATCAAAAGTAATGCAACGCTAATTTACAATTTTTTGAATTAACGTTGCATTACTTTTGATTCCCACTGTATTTAATTTCTATATTATTCCCATTTCGCCTCACATATATTCAAGAAATTTGTTGCTTAATGCATTATAAAAAAGTGTAATTGATTTTTGTATCGATAGTGTGTTACTGCGCCAAACGTCAAAAATGAATTTGTTATCAGTTATGATTATTTAACGATCACGATTTTCTCAGCGTGTTAAAAACAAGACTTTGTACATCTATACAGCCAACTAAATTGATGTTGACTTCTAGAAGCTAGCCGAGTAATAAAACAAACATAACCTTGCTTACATTATTTGTGATCAGATAATATAGAACCTTCCAGAATGTGTTTTATTTTTTCTAGCTTCGAATATATCATGCGAGAGAAGGCGGGGTAAAACTTGATTAGTTTTGTTTGGCTTTTATTTTACTTGCACAAGGCGGATAAAGGATTTACTAATCAAGGCCTCAACTTTTTATACAATTTGCGATGGGGTCTAAGGATCGATTTTGGAAACAATCTTTGGGGAAATATGACCGCATCACTAAAAATCTGATCAACAGACGTTCTTTAGAAAAGTTGACACCATCCCCGAAAGATCAACAAGGGGACATCGCGCAAATCATTAATTCAATACCAGAACTTTCTGGAAAAATAGACAGTCTATACTGCAATGATGTCGAGCCTGATGTCATGTGGTAAACGTGAAGACTCGATAAGTTCTAGGTAATGAAAAACCGTGCCAAAAATTTTTGTCACGTTATAGCGTTTGAAGTTCTCATTATCATGATAAATCTAGGTACTCAAATTAAGACAATTGAACAGGCATTATTGAAAAATAACCCCCCCCCCCCCCTTTGGCGTTTAAAACAATGCCAACCGCCGATTTTTTTAGCGCGTCTGGAATTATAACAGTTGCTGCTCATGGTGGCGCGACAGCAGTTCCAAGTGTATCTGACCTGGTTGTTAAACTATAAATAGTTTCTGGTGATAGTGAGCTGCAAGAACTTTCAAATGAAAAAGATCCAGTCGAATTCAACGCGGCAAATTAAATTTAGGTGAGTTCTAGCATAAATGTAATAGCAAGTTTGACGTTTTCTGATAATTTTTATCTTTATTTCTTGGTGTCGAGCCATTATATAACATGCGCCTGAATGATCTTGTAATTCCACTCAAGGACTGGCTTAATCCTGCGAGCATCAAAAATACCTTTGATACTGCTGATTCTCTTGATATTGTTTACTGACCATTCAATAAAGGGTAAATCGACTTATCAAATGATGATATATGGATAAAACGATTCGTCAAGACACAAGATCCACCATCAATAAAACTTAATCATAGCATTCCCTCTTTTGAACTCTTGCTTAAAGCCCCTCATCTCATTCCATTTACCAAAAAATTCGAATGGGACGTCGCCAAGACATCATTTGTTACTAATCAAGTGCTTGTAGCCACAGATGCTCTTCATTTTTTTTCCTGGTTATGAAGTGGTTATAGCTAGACTGATTCAAATTTCACAAACATTGCTACAGAATTTTCTTTCGTCATAAATAAAGTAAGAAATTTTTTTATTGGTTTGTCAAAGTTATTTTGATTTTTGATTCGTAATTTTTATTTAGATTGCCGAATACGCACGAAATGGCAAGTTGCCAATAAATATTACCGTGTCACTCAGATTTCTAAGAGCTTCTATCGCTTTATTGGCACCAACATTCGACAGCGATCCAAATGCTACTTTCGAAACGAAATAGTCCAACGATTGATTAGTAAATATGGAGCTAGGTAAGAATTTTAGGTTTTTTATTATTTAGAAAGAATCTCACTGAAATTAAGTTAACATCATTTCTCATGATCCTAAGTTTTTATCGAAGACCACATTGGGCTAAAAATGGGAATCTGTACCTGAGTTTTCTTCACAAATCATTAGGTGATCATTTTACTACATTTGAAAAAGTTCGCGTTAAATATGACCTAATAATACTTTCTTTGATAATGTTTCATTAAAACAAGTGTTTTATGGCTAAATAATATTTGATTTAACATCTATTTAAATGAATTTAATGTATAAATAAAGCGAGAAAATTAATGTCACCTCCAAAATACCTTAGTTCTTTTTTTATATTATGTAAAAATTTCTGCGATTTTTCCACTAATGAACGGACCATTCACTGTTTCAGGCTACTAAGGGTACTATAATGCTATATATAAGCACCTCAAGTCCTAATAGCTGGCTCCTGAAGAGTGTGAATAAACGAACCATTCTAATCTAACACGGATTCATTCATATTTTGCTAGTTGCAAATTAGATTCCATCAAGCACAATTTCGAGTTATCCACAATATTTTTTTCGACATAATACCATTTAAATTATGGTGAAAAAGTTCAGTACGCAACGTATGGACAATTGTGGAACTCCTTATTAACTTATAAAATTGCATATTTTCATAAAAGCTCACAAGTATGCTATTTGACTATTTTCCACAGCGTAATAAAGATGTTACGGTCGATAAAGACTTAGTCTTGACTAGACTTTGAACCGACCTCGAGTTGACTGGGTCTGTAATCAATATCATCTGAATTTAAAGTCATTAAAATTACAGTAATCAGAAATATTCACTATTAAATTTAATATCTTTTACTGTGTTTATAGATAATTATTACAATTGTGTTCTCTTGCAATATATTATATTTGTCTTGAAATATATTACGTTCATCTTGCAATACATAATTTTGCAATTGTCTTGTAATTAATTTTTCGCATTTATCTTTTAAACAATGTGTGGATGCAATAAAAGAAAAAATACTAGTTTCGTTTGAAAATAATTGACGAAATACTGGCATTCTTGGATGATTACCGTAGAAGCCCGAAAATAAGCTACCTCCCATGTTTCATCCCAAAATCGGGTGCAAAAGTATATGTGAACTTAATAAATTTGATTAAAATCTTACTGAAATCTTTCTGGAATCTTTCTGAAAATAGTTCATTATATTTATTGGAATATTACTGAAATATTTCCGGAAATATTTCATTATACTTATTGAAAAATTACTGGAATATTACTGTAATTATTTCAGAATCAATTATCGTTATTAAATATATTACACCGGAAATAAAATAATTATTTTATTTCCGGTTAGTTTAGGTTATGTCGGGTCAGGTATGACGACGAGGTCATGTGTGTGTCGTCACTCGAGTGACGATAAGTTCGCGTATTCGTCGTCACACTCGGGTATCTATCACTATATAAAAAATGTGACGACGAATCTGCATTCGTGTCATCATCCTGAGGGGTCACCGAGACATGTGTTGTGATGACAGAAATCAGATACCGTCATCATGTGTCGTGATGACAGAAATTCAACACCATTGTGACGACAGTAATTTGACACTGTCATCATGTATCGATCTCAAGTCATCTTCTATATATTTTGTATATTGTCTTATTATTTTCAATTAGAAGGAAAGGATAAGTTAGGCTATGACGATCAAACATGGTTCCTCTTTAGAGTCTCAAATTTGATAGTATTTTTTGTATATCATGAACTGCAAGCATAGCCGATTTCATAAAATTAGTCATCTGCAAGCAGATTGATTTCATTACTTGTTTGACAATCTGATTGTAATTTATATATCATTTGAGAAGACAAAAAAATTATCATGTATATGTCATGATCTGAAGCAGGTTGAATTTGACAGGCTAAATATAATTTACATATTTTTTGAAAAGATAAAAAATTAATCATGTATATGTTATCAAATATGTTACAAACATGTTGTTTAGTATATTATCAAGTTATGCTAATAAATATGCTATCAAATTTTACTATCTGATTATGTAATCAAATAAGTTATCAGATAAGAAGACAGATAAATATTATTAATTGATTTTATTTATGATTTAAAGATATGTTATATATAAGAAAGCAGATATAAAATTTTATTTTTTACTATAAATAAATTTAATACTATTTATCTTGAAAAGTTACTTAAAATATATTATTAAACAAATAAATATTTCTCATAATTCTTATAATATATTACTAAAGTTACTTATTCTGATTATACAGTGGTGGCGGAAAAAAGTGACAATTCTTTTCATTTTAGAAATTATGCCACCAGATCTTTTTTTACGTTACA